GTCCTTCATGTCCTTATTGAACTAAGGACTTGTTCGGCTATCATGATTCCAAGCTGTCTCCCACTCTACATAGCCTTGATCATGCCTGGGATGGCTATCAAGATCCTTCGAAATCTGCCTCTGTGATTCCATGAGATCCTGCATCAACATAACCATTCTGTTTTGGAGCATGATGGGCACTTTGGGCCCCATTTGTACCCACCAGTCCCTGCCTGTGGCCCAAACTATGCCTACATGGGGCCCTGATGTGGAGGCTAAGACATGGAGCTTGGCTTTCATTTCTGACTGGCCTATGCATGGGCACATCATTCCCTGTGTATTTCCTACCCTCAGGTCTCCCAGATTCTAGACCTGAACTGTAAGGCCATCCTCCTGAAGCTAGGGGTTCTTTGCTGCACTACAGATGTGGGGAAGGAAATGTCATTGAGTTTGACCCCTTGTGGCCTTGTGCTGCTAGGATACTCAGTGCCATTTTTAGAGTCAGGTCTCCCAGGTGTGTCATCAGTGTACTTCCCAGCTATGCCCCTCATGCAAGCATCAGGTCCTCTTGGCCTGTTGGAATGTGCCTGCCCTCACTGTCCAGGATATCTTCCTGGGGCCTCCTTTCCCACACTGTGCCATTGATGAAAAAATTTGAATGGTGGTTACTGTCAAACCCCATATGGGTGTGCTGTCTTTATGGGGACTGAGCACCCACCTGGCAATCATTATTCTCTGGTGTTTTTCATTCTTCAGCACTTTGGTGAAGCATGCAATGGCATCCAAGATCCCAGGTGATCTGGCATCAGGAAAATTGGCTACCTTGTTTTGGAGCAGAATGGCCACTGGCAAACACATGTACACTGCACAAGTCTGAACTTGTGGTAGGGACTCTCCCAAGAGAGCTTTGACCAGGGAATGATGACAGGGAGCCTGGCTTCAGGGTTGGAGAGGCCAGCATATGCTCCCTGCCTGCCTCCTGACCTCAGGTTTCCAGGACCTCTAGTCCTGTGGAAGTAGGAGTCACCTCAGCCCAGCAGGACATCTTCCTGTAGCTAGGGTTACCTTCACTGCATTCCTGAAGCAGAGGAGGGATATTTCAGTGAGAACCCTTGGAGCTCTGTGCCAGGGCATACTTTCAGCATCCGTGGGCATCAGATCCCTCAGGTGACTTTCATCAGTGAACTTCCTGGTTGTGCTGGGAGTTCCCATGAGACCTAGCTTCAGGATAACAGGCAACTTGGGTTTGCAGTGGGGTGAAACCTGTCAGCCCTGTGAGTTCCCCAGAAGTCCCCACAGAGGGTCCTGTCCACCCTCACAAATCCAGGACCCAGAAATGGATCCCAGGGTGCTTACATACTGAATTGGCTCATGCATAAACAGTTCAGTCCTGCACACCTGTCCCCAGGCGTCAGTCCCACACCCACTATTGGCTAGGCTCTGCTCTTGCTTACAACATCATTTTCTTAGAGCATCATTTTTACTCAATGATCCAGTGATGAAAAGGTTTGAATAGTTGTTACCATCATAGCCCATATGGTCCTCTGTCCTTACTGGACTAGGGACCTCTCTGACAATCATGATTTCAAGTTTTCTCCCATCTCTTATAGCCCTGGTCAGGCCTGGAATGCCCATCATGATCCCAAGAGATCTGGCATCAGAGGAATTAGCTGCTTTGTTTTGGAGCTGGATAGAACCTTTTGGCCCCATGTGTTCCCAAAGTCCCCATTTATATTTCCATGTCCCTGATTCATGGGCCAAACCCAGGATCCTGGCTGCACCTTCAGACTGTTCAATGTATGCACATCGCTGCCTGTGCACCTCCTACCCTCAGGCACCCTGGACTTCTAGGCTGGTGTGTACAGGAGCTGCCACCAACCCAGCAGGCTACCTTTCTGGAGTGAGGGGTTACTTACTTGCACTGTACTTGCAATGCAGTGAGGGAAAGTTCATCTGCTGCTATGAAGAATGGTGTAATAATTCCTCTAAAAGTTAAACATGGAATAACCACATGTGCCAACAGCTTCACTCGTAGGTATATACTCAGAAGAATTAAAAATAAGAACTCAAGTGAGATATCTATACACCAGTGTTCATAACAGCAGTATTCACAGTAGCTAAAACCAACCCCAGTGTCCATTAACAGAAGAATGGATAAATAAAATTGGTATATATAGAAACAATGGAATATCATTCATCTGTGAAAAGAAATGAAGTTCTGTTATATGCTACAACATGGATGAACCTGAATATGTTATGCTAAGTAATTATCTAGAAATAAAAGGACAAATAGTATATGATTCTACTTACACAAAATATCTAGAATTCACAAATTCATAGAGACAAAAAATAGATTAGAAGTTACCTGGGGCTTGGTAGGCAATCAACGGGGAGTTGTTGCTTAATGGGTACAGAGTTTCTTATGGGGTAGTGAAAATGCTTTTATGCTTTTAAGTAGTGCTGATGGCTGCACATTATTACTATAATTAATGCCACTAAATTTTACATTTATATACGGCAAAATGGCTATTTTTGCTATGGACTGAATTTTGCCCCCCCCCATTCATATTGAAACTATAACCCCCAATATGATGGAATTTTGGAGGTAGCTTTTGGGAGGTTTAGACCAGGGAATGAGGCTGGGACCCTCAAGATGGGATTAGTGCCTTATAGGAAGAGACCAGAGAGTTTGTTTCTTGTCCCCTTTTCTGCCATGTGAGGACACAGTGAGAAGGCAGCTGTTTGAAAGCCAGGAAGAGAAACATCACTGAGAACCAATTCTGCCAGCACCTGGATCACGGACTTCTCAGCCTCCAGAACTGTGAGAAATAAATGTGTGTTGTTTAAGCCACTCAGTCTGTGGTATTTTGTTATAGCAACCTGAGCTAAGACATTTTGTGTTATATATATTTTACGAGAACAAAATCTATTTTATTCCTAAATACAAGCAGCAAAGAAAGGAATTAAGTAACAAAGATAATATTATTTACAGTGAAATTAAAATATATAAACCACTTAGGATTAACTTTAAAAAACGGCACAGTAACAGGTGGAAGTTACTCTGTGCTCAGCAGTCTTCAGATACTGTGCACACACCCTACAGGTTTCTTCCCATAACACCTGTACATTCCATATTTTCCAAAGATCTAACTGCCACAAGGGACTGAAGCTCTAAGGCTTGTTTGCCACACATTTTACATGGGGGAATAATAAAAGACTTGGGTGAAAAAGCTAATAGTCATTATTTCTGAACAAGAGGAGTGATATTTATCTTCTTTTTCATGTTTTCTTCTACTCAAACTAACTGAAAGGAATCTGTTCAAAGCACCTACCCCCAGCCACACTTACAAACAAAAGTCACAGGTGTCTGCACTTGGCCTTAACTTTGTTTTTCTAGGTTATGGTGCCCTACGTTCTCAGAAAGAAGACTCCAACTACAAAACACTCTTCTCTAGCTTGACCACAACCCACATTCTGGAGGAGCCCCAGACAGAGCCCCTCCAGAAACCTGACACCTCCTGCTCCACCTGGCCAAGAGTCAGCCCCCTCCCCACACTCTGCCATGAGCACAGCTTGGACATCCTTCAAAACCCCTTAAAAAGCCCAACCTGACTCAGGGCTGACATTTTTCTTGACGCCTGGCCCCTCTCTTCCCTTGGAAAGTGAATTAACTCTGTCCTGCTTGGTGTCCTCCACTCTGTACAATTCTTTGTTGTCCATGCCATCAGTCACCCTAATATTAACATGAGGATATATTATGTTTTTCAAAATTAGAGAAAAATGATATTGGTTGCTAAATATATGTTTAGAATTTATTCTTTTCTCTAAATTCCCACTTGATCCCTATTCAGATCTTCATGACTTCCTGCAGGAGCATCCAGGAGGTTCCCCATCAACTGGCCTTCTATATGCTATAGTTTCTCCTGCATCATGTGTCTACCTACAGCTCCTCCTTCTGCCCGTCTGCCCCTCCGAGGGACCCTCGTGGTCCCTGTTGTTATTTCCAGGACACCTCCCTCCCTCAGTCAGTGCTGTCAACACTGCCTCCCAGAGACCACATCCTGTCACTGCCCTGTAATGTCCTGTCTTGGTAAATACTTTGGGCTCTCTAAACCCCTCCCTTACAGTGTAGAACTGGGGCAGTGCCTCTCCGTTTAGTCTTTTCCACTGTGCCCACTCAGAAGCCCTTAGCCTGCTTCAGGGGGCAGCAGCATGCTATTATGGTTGCAAGCAGTAGCTCAGCTTTTGACCGCCTGTGCCAGTGCTGAGAGGTGCTGCGCAAGTCCTCAACTCTTGAAACCTCACTTTTCTCATCTATAAAATGGAGAAATTAATGTCTAGGTCATAAGAATGGATGACAATAAAATAAAGCATTCTGTGTAATTCAGTGAGTATAGTATGCCTGGTCTACATTAAACACAATAATTTTAAAGCAACTTGAATCAAACAAGATTTTAGATCAGATAAACCTGGGTTCAAGACTCCACACAGCTGTTAGTCATACATCCCCAAGCCAGTTTCTTAACTTCTTAGATCTCAATTTCTTCACTGAAAAATGAGTGTAAATATGATAATCCATTTATTCTTTTATTCATATAAATAACACCAGATTGTGTGATACCATACATGAGGCACTGAGCTAAAAGTCAGGAATGCAACAAGAAAGAAGCACTCCCATCACTGGGAACACATAGCCACATAAAACACAGCAGAATCACAGTCCTGGCTGAATACTGGAGTCCCCTTAGCAGGTTAAAAAAAAAAAAATCCCAATGCTGGGCTCTGCTCAGGGCTTGAGGTGTGGCTTAAGTACGGATTCAGAGTTTCCCCAGAGACCCCAATGAGCAGCACACATGGACAACTACTGCTTTAGAGTCACTCTCAGAGAATTCCTTCACACCTAATTTGTTACAGAACATTTCCCTAAGAGATTGTTTGATATACTGTGGACACAGAGGTGGGGTAGTCTCTAATCTTGGGATCGGGTGCCCCAATTCCCACACACTTTATATCAGCTCAAAATGAGTCACAAGTACCAGTGGAGGTCTGGTGAGTGGGTTGGCTCCAATCTTATCTATTTATAACTGATAACAAGAAAAAACCTTTCCCAGAGCTGGGAATCTGTTGCCCCCTCACTAGGCTTACAGCTGCTCCCAGACAGCCCCTTCCAGCTGGCCACCTGGGCCTTGTTAACTAAGCAAACCTGGGCTCCTCTGCCATGAAATGCAAAACTCTTTTTTATAATGCCTGTAAGTAAATGAGATCAAGTGACAGGATACTGAAAAATAGGAATCAGCAGCTTTCTCACTGCTAGGCCATCAGCCCTTTCCCTCCCTGGAGCTGACTTTAGGTCTTAAGCAAACAGCTAGTGGGACATTCCATCCATATTTCTAGACTCTCAATCCTGTCTTGCTGTCAAGACATTTCCTTTCCTTTCCCTGCATTTTCCTTTTATAAAGTTTATATCTTCAAAACCTTATTTGACATAGAAAATATCATGATGTCTGAGATTTGCTTTAAAAAAATTCCAGAAAAAAATATATGTTTGGGAGAAATAATAAGATTGGCAAAAATTGATACTTAATCGATAAACCCCAGTTTATTGAATCCTTATTATCCTGGCTTTTGTGTATGTTGAAAAATGTCCACAATACAGGGGTACCTGGGTGGCTCAGTTGGTTAAGCTTGGTTTTGGCTCAGGTCATGACCTCACGGTTCATGAGTTTGAACCCCAAGTCGGGCTCTGCGCTGACAGTGCAGAGCCTGCTTGGGATTCTCTCTCTCCCTTTCTCTCTCTGACCTTCCCTCTGCTCTCTCTCTCTCTCTCTCAAAATAAATAAACTTAAAAAAAAAGAATCAGATTGTAAATTTAAAAATAATGTCCACAATACAAAATTCAACAGAAGAAACTGGGGGGGGGATTAGATTTTAGATATTAGTCTTAGATCTTTAATGTTATCAGAAAGGCTTGGATTCAATACCCTGCAAAGTGAACAGTTTTAAATCTTCTTATTCAAAGAAATATAATCCTTTAGCTTATACATGGTTTTACTTTAGCACAACCCATTTGCTCACATAAAAGTTTCTCCTGATTTGAAGTCATAAAACATACTTACGTTCTCCAGCATGGAGCCTGATGCAGGGCTCCAACCCACGAACCGAGAGATCATGACCTGAGCCGAAACCAAGAGTTAGATGCTCAACCTACTGAGCCATCCAGGTGCCCCTTTTATATATAACTAAATTATGCACGTCACGAGTAATAACCATTAAATTTAAAAGTGTATTTGTCATGACTCCAGTTACAGATGTTTCCATGAAAGTGTGAGGTATCATCTTCCATATGGTTTGCCTAGCCAGGTCTGCTGGTCTTGACCTGGTCTTGGCAGCTCACAGACCCAGTCCCTGGGAGGCCCCATGGCAGCCAGGCGCACCAATTCCCTATTGGTTTATGTAACAGCCTCTTTAATAAACCTCATATTAAACGTTTAAAAATTAAATAAGTATCAAAGACTATTTCATCCTCAGAGGAAGCATGCTATTTTTAGAAAGCAGTTTTTATATTAAAATCACAGAACAATTTGCCCCAGAGTTGCAAGGTATCCTCCTCAGTGCTGATAAAAGGGCCTCTGGTCCTTATTTTGGCAATCACTCCCTTCTTGGATTCAGAGCTTAATGGAGGGGGGGGGTGTCACCTCTATACTCAGTAGTCTTCACATACTGAGCACACTGTAGGCCCCTTCTTACAAAATCTGTACATTTCATATTTTTCAAAGATCTAACTGCCACAACGGACTTAGATTCTAAGCTTCTTGTTGCCTCTCCCTTTACATGCGGGATAATAATAACGCTTCCCCAGGGGCATGCTGTATCATATTCACCACCATGCTGGGCACAGAGAAATGAATCAGTCTGTTAAAGTATTGATACATCCTCAGAAAATAGGGGTTGAAATGTCTCTCTTTATATTCATGTTTCTCAGTCAAGACTTTTGGGACCCACACTTGCTGGTTATGTCCCACACAATGGATCCCTTCTCTAGCTGGGCCCTCACCACCAGTACAAGGAGTATGCAATATAAAATTTCCATTTTCCTGTGAAAAGGTTTTGTTCATGTTGGATTTTAATTTTTGTTTGTTTGTTTGTTTTTGTTGTTGTTTTGGTGAGGGAAAGGCTTGTTGCCTTAGCCACAAATGTTTTACATCAGGGTGGACCACTCCTGCCGCTGTCAACACTGTTAACACTACTGGGGAGAGAATTAGTCCAAGTGTCCGGCCCCCACCCCCCACCCCACCAGATCTCATTGAGGGAACAGTCCTGGAGGCTCCGCATGGGCCCTGCCTGTCACAGCAGGTCATTGCCTAATGGGCCTCCACAGCAGAACCCAGAGATCTCACTGTTGTTTCTCATGGCCTAGGCAGAGGATAGGAAATACCTGTATCTTCTTTACTTATCCACCTTTATGTCCTAGTGCAGTTGTTGCAAGAGCTGGAGTAAAGACACCTTCAAGTACAAACCCAGTCATATTTGACCTCCTTGGAAGTTGGTCTTCAGTGTATGGATGAGAGGAGACTCTCACAGCAGACGTGTCAGTGGGAAAATGGTCCGGAGCCACCCTGTTAGGTAAGGACACAGATCATCCAGATCTGAGAGCTAAGAGGGGCATTTAAAAGCCTCCAGAATAAACTGCAATGCATGCACATTTGTTCCTTCTCATTAAGGGACATGTACACTTCTTTGGTCTCAAAATCTTTCTAAGTCATGACAACATTAATTAAAATCTACAAGTTATAAAACATGGCATAATATTTATTACACATTAAATATTGTATAGACTTATGTTTATATATGATTGCATTACATTTTGAACATATGTAAATTTCTACTTATACTTTTGATATTTTAAACTTCAATAATTTCCTTTAAATATTCTAGGCTTCTGTTTTTTACCAGTTTGGCATTACAGATCATCCACTTGGGAAACAACAGTAAGAAGCATTTTATTTATAGTCTCTTACTTTTTATTGCCTATTTGTTTCTTAATCATTATCAGTCTCATATTTTCGGTGTTTTTAAAAGGTTATCAAAGAGAGAAACATAAAGGTAACAGAGAAGAAATCAACAATGCTACAGTCCAAAAGCTCCTGCAGAAAACACTCAACTGGACCCTGAATAATTTTGGGGAGGTGAATGCAAGCACCAATGGCTGGAGGCCCCAGAATTCACGTCCCTACTTTCCGGATCTCCAACAGCGTAAGTTGCAAGTCGCGAAGGCGCCCACATTACCTTTGTGGTCATCTCAGTCGGTGGTCTGCAGATTTAGGATCTGAGAAAAACCTGGAATAAATTTAGCATAAAATGAAAAATCCAACAAAGCACATTTTATCATCTTCAAATGATGATACACTATAAAGTGAAAACTATTTCCTAGTGAGGTGTTCTTTTGCTCTGAAAAGTTTTACTATTTCATTGGTAAAACTTTCCATCTGCTCAGGTCCAGAGAACTGCGATTTAAATATATTCAAAACAACCTCCCAACCCAAGATAATAGGGGACCCTTGCTTGGCTTATTGCAGACTGTCAGCCTCCAGACCCCACATCCCGGGGGCGTGGAGGCTGGGGGCGGGGGTAGGCGGTCTTTCTGGCGGGAGGGCTGGAGGTGAGAGGGTTTTCTACAGTCCTCTCTCGGTGGGTGGTCCCCTCCCGGGAGACCTGTCTTTAATCACTGTCCAGGCAGGTCACAGCCTGACTTTAACATGTGAAAGGAATGAAGAGAGAGAATCCTACTTGCTGGGGGCAGGGATTCTCGTCGGGTCCTCGGACTGGTTTCTGACCCTCCGGTACCCCTGGCAGTTTGCTTTTAATCCTTAACAAGCAGGGTTTGCTTGAGCAAACACACTTAGCAGGGAGTTAAATTTTATTGCCTTTCCGGGGTGATCTCGCGAAGCCCTCTTCGGGCTTGTCTAACGCGGAAAGCCGAGCGGCAGGCGGAGGCTGACAGCCAGGCGACTCCCCCACAGGTGAGCCCCAGCTGCTGCGCTGCTGCAGTAACGGCGGCACCTGCGTGCTGGGCAGCTTCTGCGTGTGCCCCGCCCACTTCACCGGCCGTTACTGCGAGCACGACCAGAGGCACAGGTGAGCGCGTCACCGAGCGGGCTGCTAGGTCGGTGGGGCGGGGATATGGGGCGGGGGCCCTGGAGCGGGCACTGGGGCAACCCGCGGGGCGGCGCGTGGCGGAGGGGAGCGGGCTCTGGGGGCTCGCAGGTGGAGTGTGGGGGAGGGGAGCGGGGAGTGGATGGCAGCGGCCGCGGGGCCTGTGCGGGGTGGGGCGTGGGTGGGCGTGGGAGAAGGGAGCGCATGCGCGTAGGCAAGGCTAACTCCACCTTGCGGCCTCCCTAGCGAATGCGGCTCGGTGAAGCATGGAGCCTGGACCTTCCTCGGCTGCCGCCTTTGCAGGTGTGTTTTCGCAGCCCTGCACTGCCTCCCCCGCCAGACACCCGGCAGCTGCGGTAAGAGTACCCGCCTCCTATTAGCACAGTCCACACACGCAGGTGGTTGCTCCTTTGTACCTATCTATCCGCAGAGATCTAGCTGTGCCAGGCGACACAGAAATGAGCAAAAATTCATCACTTAGGAAAGTACATTCGTCGTGAATCACATATAATCATTCTGTGATTATCAGCATATCATTATTATTATTTAAATTTTTATTCCTAAATTTACTATGTCCCGATTGCTGGGTTTAAAAGTGATTTCCAGTGTTCTTCAAGTATCCTTTCAGTGAGCCTACTTTGGAGAGCACACAAGCTGGTAAACCGAGCCAAGCCTGGCAGACAGATTACCGGACTGATTTACCGGACTAAATCTCCAGTGACTTCCTTAAACCACACCAACACCATCTTCTCCAGTGTGAAATGAGGAGGGCATTGGAGCAGGACAGGAACAGGGATGAATGGCTACACGCCACCCTTTAGGGCCTACCAGGTAGTGCTCCCAGGGAAAGAAGGTGTTCAGGCTTGCCACACATATTAAAAGCCAGCATGGTGTGGAGAACACATGGGGTGAACGATCATTTGTGAGGATTCTGAGCAGGGAGCAAACTTCGTGCAAATGTTTCACTTTTAAAATGCAGTACGAAACATGAAATTTCCTGGGTCAGAAAATAGATGTAACACTCTGCTATGACCTCAAGGGGCACAGTTAAAGAAGGTACAGCATTTCAATCCCACATCCTGCACCCTCTCCCCTCTTCAGCATGCTCTGACCAGACTTCACTGAGGAGCAGTTAATGAAGGCACAGCCCTCAGCCCTCTTCAGTCAATCCTGGTGGTCTTGGCTGTGAGAAGTCAAAACTCCTAAGTCCCCTTTTATGCTCCTCCTTTGTCCTTCTTCTTGTCCTTCTTTGTCCTTGCTCCTGGGCAAATCCCACAGTTGAAGGGCACACTTAATGATATCACAGCCCTTCAACCCCACTTCCCACCCCTTTGTCCACTGTCAGGACTGCAGTGGAGGAGCAGCAGTAAGTGAGGATAAGAACCCTCCAAACCAAGTTCTTGTCCCTGCCTTCTTGGTGGGGCCAGTAGTGGAGGAGCACACTGAATGAATGCTCAGCTTTCAACCCACATTCCTATACCTTTCTCCCTCTTCTGCAGCCTTGGGTAGGATTACCTGTCAAAGATGCTTAGTGAAGGTACAACCCATCAACCCCACTTCCTGCCCTGCCCTTCTCATCCAGCTGTGCATGGTGTGGGTGGTGCCAGTAGGGAGACTGTGATTATAGTACAGTATTGGAAAACGTTGTATCTTTCCCTCCCTCTGTCATGCCCACCACATTTCCCAAAGCACCCCCTCTCCTACTGGGCTGTTTGCTGACCTGTGATTCACTAGCTGTTTCTTCTGTGCTCCAGAGAAAGGACACACAAATTAGGGAACATATATTGATATTGCAGGTGGAACCTGTGTAGTCCTACAAGTGAAGTCATTTCCCACGTGCCACTGGCACTCCCAGCAGTAATGTGGGGAAGGGATTAGCTGTGATCTTTTCCCAGTCTCCTGTGCAAAGCCAGCTTGGTTTCAGAAGCAGCAAGGCAAAGACTAGGTCCCAGGCTCTCTGCTTTGGAAACATCCAAGGCTGGGAATGCTGTCTGCCAAGGACAGTGAAAATGGCTCCAAAATGTGGTTTCTGCTCATGAATGTTGAATGAAATAGTCATGTTTCAGAGTGAATTGTCAGGTGCAGAAAGCACAGCAACACTTTTGGACTCTTTGGCCTGTTGATTCTTCTTCATAGCAGATGACTGTGGTGGCTGTGCTGACAGTGGTTATGATAGGAGGGATGATGATGATGGCTGTTTTTGTTAGCACTTGGTATATTTCAGGCACTTCGTACACTTCATCCCATCCGATTCTCTTAGGCCCATGAAATAGGTATTATTATACTTTTTTATATTTGAGGAAACTGAGACTTAGAGGAATTAACTCCTACAGCAAATAAACAGGGTCTGATATTTATTTCTTAAGAGATAATCATGAGAGGCTAGTTGGTATAAAAATATATATACATATAAAATAAAATATATATAAATATATAAAATATATGCGGTATATAAATATATACAATATAATATGGTATATGTATATATACATATATAATATATAATATATATAATATATAATATGGTATATATAATATAGTATGGTATATAAATATATATAAATATAAAGTAAGATATATTTTATAACGATTATTTAAAAATATTGTAAAGAAACATACCATAGCATATTGATATAATAATAATTAACATTATTCTGTGAATAATAACTAATATGAATCTATGACTAAAATTGCTACCATTTATGGAGTACGTAAGGACATCCCTGAAATTTGTCATATACTTTTTTTAAAATTGAGATATAATTCGCATATAACATTACATTAGTTTCAGGTGTACAAGATGATGATTGAAAATTTGTGTATATTGTGAAATGTTCACCACACTAAGTCTACTTAATATCCATCACCCTCCATAGTTAAAATTTTTTCTTGTGATGAGAACTTTTAAGATCTACTCTCTTAACAACTTTCAAATGTACAATATGGTTTTATTAACTATAGTCACCATGCTGTACATTACAATCCCATTGGTTATTTGTTTTCCAAATGAAAATTTGTACCTTCTGACCTTTGATCTTCACCCATTTGCCCACCTACCAACCCTCGCCTTTGGCACCCACCAAACTGTTCTTGTAGCTATGTTCCATTTTTGTTTTTGTTTTTGTTTTTAAAGATTCTACATATAAGTGAGAGCATATGGTATTTGTCTTTCTCAGTTTGATTAATTTAGCATAATGTCCTCAAGGTCCATCTATGTTGTGACACATGGCAAGATTTCCTTCTTTTATGTGGCTGAAAAATATTCCACTGTTTTGTGTTTGTGTTTTATATATAAATATACATATTTTGGGGCGCCTGGGTGGCGCAGTCGGTTAAGCGTCCGACTTCAGCCAGGTCACGATCTCGCGGTCCGTGAGTTTGAGCCCCGCGTCAGGCTCTGGGCTGATGGCTCGGAGCCTGGAGCCTGTTTCCGATTCTGTGTCTCCCTCTCTCTCTGCCCCTCCCCCGTTCATGCTCTGTCTCTCTCTGTCCCAAAAATAAATAAATGTTGAAAAAAAATTTTTTTAAATATACATATTTTACCCACATTTATATCATATTTATACATATTTATATTATATATTTATCCATTCATCCATCAATGTACACTTAGGTTGCTTCCATATTTTGGCTTCCATATTATTATAAATAATATGCAATGAATATGGAGGTGCATATATATTTTTAAGTTAGTATGATTGTTTCCTTTGGATAAAGACCCAGAAGTGGAATTGCTGGATCGTATGACATTTCTTTTTTTAATTTTTTAATTTAATTTTTTATTTTTTAAATTTACATCCAAATTAGTTACCATATAGTGCAACAATTATTTCAGGGGTAGATTCCTTAATGCTCCTTACCCATTTAGCCCATCCCCCCTCCCACAACCCCTCCAGTAACCCTCAGTTTGTTCTCCATATTTATGAGTCTCTTCTGTTTTGTCCCCCTCCCTGTTTTTATATTATTTTTGTTTCCCTTCCCTTACGTTCATCTGTTTTGTCTCTTAAAGTCCTCATATGAGCGAAGGCGGTCTTTCTCTGACTGACTAATTTCACTTAGCATAATACCCTCCAGTTCCATTCATGTAGTTGCAAATGGCAAGATTTCATTCTTTTTGATTGCTGAGTAATACTCCATTGTATATATATACCACATCTTCTTTATCCATTCATCCACCGATGGACATTTGGGCTCTTTCCATACTTTGGCTATTGTTGATAGTGCTGCTATAAACATGGGGGTGCATGCGTCCCTTCTAAACAGCACACATGTATCCCTTGGATAAATGCCTAGTAGTGCAATTGCTGGGTCATAGGGTAGTTCTATTTTTAATTTTGAGGAACCTCCATACTGTTTTCCAGAGTGGCTGCACCAGCTTGCATTCCCATCTTTTTTAATTTTTTGAAGAACCTCCATACTGGTTTCCATAGTGGTCACACCAATTTACATTCCCACCAACAGTGCACAAGCGTTCAGGATGTGAATCCTAACTATTGTGCCATTTCTATACTCATCCTATAAGAATAATTATCAATATAAACTAAAGAAATATTTTTGATAGTGTTATTTAGAATACTGAAAATATGACCATATTCTAAATTTAACAGCAGAGTAATAGGTAAGTAAATCCTGTAATGGGATGTTATGAGGATTGTGAAAAACATATGGAAGATAGAATAAAAAATTATGTTTATAATATAATGAGGTGAAAGGATACATCTCGATGCAGGAATCACAAACAGAAAATAATACACTATAAAATCATGGCCTTGTGGCACCTGCAGGCTACCTGAAAGCCAAAGGGTCTCTAAGGGGCCTTCTTGCTCAATCCTGTCTAGGTCCAAGAATGACAGGCTGTCTTAATCCCAAATATAATGCCTTTCCAAGGGCATTCTGATTCAGAAGAGCTCTATTTGTTTCTCAGTTTTTATATAAAATGAGGATAACCTGCCCTCTACCCTCACATACATGTTGAAGGATAAATTTTATGCAAAATAATCTTGTTTGTGGTGTGAGCTATTTTCTGTTCCATGATCTAAAATAATGCTTTGTGAATAATAATTCTAAATAAATATTGAATGGATGACCTTTGACCAATTAGTTCCAAATACAGCTCGAAAGAAGAAACACCATAAAAGCCATTACCTATTATTATATTGCAATTAAAAGAAACCATTTGTAGGGTTCTATCATTGCAGGGTTCTATCAATTGTTCTATCAATTGCAGGGTTCTATCAATCTATCAAAATGATAGGGTTCTATCAATTACCTACATTGCAGGTAACTATCATTACATCTGTTAATTTTGCATTTAAAGAGACAGTGTGGCATAATAGAAAAAGCGTGGGAACATACC